CTGCAGAGATATCTATGAGCTAAATGACAAACTTAGAGAAAAATATATTTTAATGCAGCAGGTCAGAAAAACTAAGTCATTGTTCAAAACCATTTACATGCTGCCTTTTTGCACCTGACTAATCTTGTGTCTGAGTTTAACTCCTTCCTATAGAGTCAGAGCTCAGTCTCATCAGAAAAAAATCACAATCAAGTAAATATCAGCACCAGCTAAATTGTGATGGGGAATCATCACGATTTAGTCAATTTTGAAAGAGAACAGCACTTTCTTGGAAGCATTTACTTCAGTGTTAAGACAAATTGTATAAAGATTATTTTTAGTCACCAGCACAAACTTTCTAAGAAAAGCAAGAGTGTTGGAGGTAGTGGAGTTTGTGTTGAGAGGTGACACATGAGTTTAGTTGACCTGTAATATAGGCTCAGAAATAGGTACTGAGCATGTACAGTACCTGACTCATCTTGTTCCTGTTTCTGGAACAAACCACCATGTCCTACTCTCTGTGAACTATGGAGACCAGAAACTTGAATCTGAAATCCATGTTTTTAATTATTCTCTCCCTTCTTTGGGCTAAAAATGGTCAAACGGAGCTCTGTACATAAATGGACTGAGTGAAGTTAAGACTGTTATGTTATGTTAAGACTTCACTCAGATAGCCCTTCAGGCTTTTCTTCTCCAGAAACAGTGCCTGAGCTGTATTGGTTCCCTGGAACTCAGGTGCTTCAAGATGTACAGATGGAGACTTTCCAGACTATAACACAGGCAGCTTTTCCTGGGAAGGGTGTTTTGGGATGGAAGGTCCAAGTGCAGCATGTGGGACAACTTGAACAAAGGAAACTCTTGAAAATATTCTATTCTATTCTATTCTATTCTATTCTATTCTATTCTATTCTATTCTATTCTATTCTATTCTATTCTATTCTATTCTATTCTATTCTATTCTATTCTAATGGGTCTCATTCCCTTCCCTCTCATCCTACAGACAGATTCACCTGCTCTCCTGAGGGAACCTGGCTGGATCGAGATGGCCAAGCAAGGATTCCTGCCTGCTTGCCAGGTCAGTAAAAACTCTGACTTTTAACCAGTCATGCTTACAGTCGGTACAAAGCTGGGACAATATACAGGGAGGGGAGCGTGGATAATAGTATCAGTGAGGGAGGACAGGGAAGTCTATCCAGGAAGCCGAAATAAGGTGAAATGAAACAGTGATGGTGTAGAAAAGAGAGAGACAAGCCAGCACATCAGAGGGTGTCATGCTCTCCTCATATTTCTCCACAGTGTGCGGAAAGCCTGTCAATCCCATTATTGGAATCCAGCGGATCTTGGGCGGTACATTAGCAAGGAGAGGCAATTTCCCTTGGCAGGCTCTGACTGACATCCGTGGACGAGGGGGTGGTGCACTCCTGGGCGATCGCTGGATCCTGACTGCTGCCCACACCATCTTCCCCAAAGGGGCAGGAGGGAACAGTGTAGTCCTGGACCAGCTTGCGGAGGAGGCTAACATTTTCCTCGGCCACACCAATGTAGAAGAGCTCCACAAGATGGGTAACCACCCTGTACGTAGGATCTTTATCCATCCAGATTACAACCCTGAAGATGAGCACAACTTCGACGGGGACATAGCCCTGCTGGAGCTGAAACAACCAGTAACCCTGGGCCCTACACTACTGCCCATCTGTCTCCCAGATACTACCAACACCACATTCTATATGGATGGGCATGTAGGCTATGTGAGCGGCTTTGGTGTGGAGAAAAACTTCATCTCAAATGATTTGAAGTACGTGAGCCTACCAGCGATTGCTCAAGAGAAGTGTCAGAGCTGGCTAGACAGTAAGAGGGGAGATATCCCTATGGTCTTCACTGAGAACATGTTCTGTGCTGGCTTCCTCACAGTCAAAAAGGATACCTGTCAGGGGGACAGTGGGAGCATCTTCACAGTGTTAGACAAGGCAAGTGGTCGTTGGGTGGCTACCGGTATAGTTTCTTGGGGTATCGGCTGTGCTGAAGGTTATGGCTTCTACACCAAGATCCTCAGCTATTTGGACTGGATCAAAGGAATAGTAAAGGAGGATATGCTCTAGATGTTGCTATCCTACTAGCTGAAGAATCACTGGTAGGATATAAATTTCCATATAGAGAAAATCATACCTAAAGATTTTGATGATGTCCCAGAGGCTTTTCAAACATGCAGAGCATGTAATCTTCATGTGCACTTCTGAAAGCCACCATACTGTTTGATGAGTTCTTGGTGGTACCATCAAGACTTACCAAAGATGCTGTACCACTGTCAGCTTGTGGAACACCTTTGTGGATGTCCTAGTTCTTCCAAATGGTATTACTGGATGAAGCCATAATAATATCAGGAAATCTCATTACATCAAATGTGTTATTTTTAAAAATGATTATGATATTATGAGACTAATGCAGTCAACTTTTGTACTCTATTTTGTGGAAAGGTTGTAAGGCAGAAGACTTTCTTAAGGATGTGGTGGTTTATGCTGAGTACAGTGTGCATATGCCCATTGGCATCAGTGAGATTCTATGAATATTAAAATAATTCCTGGAGAAACCAGGTGTGTTATGTTTTTCTGTCTTTGTTTTTAATAACAATTTAATATTCCCCACCACTGAAAGCAATTTATGGATTTTATATAGGGATCACTTTACCTACCACTAAAGTGTTTCCAGTTCTCCAGTGGCATGTGGCAGCTGCTCACCTGTCCCAAAACTACCATTAGATTACCCAGTCTGAAACCCCAGGCAGCTTCAAGGGAGGCAAAAATAAATTTTCTGTGTGATGTCACATTCAAAAGACAGGAAGACAACAACCACTCTCAGCAAGATAAAAGAGCCCAGGAACCTTTACTGACCAGAATCTGAAGATAAATTTTTTCATACTGTATGAAATAAAGCTTTGACTGCAGGACAGCAGCTCTAAAATGATGCTGACTCATGGAAAAGGTGACCCCTCTTGTGTTGTGGGTATTCTCTGGAGTTCTCGGTTAGTTTTGCTGCTGCAGAATAACTTACCATTTTCTTATGAGTTACTGAGAGAAATGAAGTCTGCAAGAGCTTGACAGGGGAACACTGTGGGTAAGGTCATAGTTGCTTTTTTGCACTGCCTTCTGTGAGATCCAGCTCCAGATCTCAGGTGTCAGTATCTCTCAGTTGCTTTTGAGATAATATACACTGGGGGGCAATCTGTGAAATTGCAGATGTGATAGAAGTTCATCCATGATCTCCATGGGTCAGAATTCTGTTGATTTTTCCCATTTCTTTGGGCAAGAGACAAGCATGAAAGGCAACAGAGCATGGAAGCACAAGGTACCCAGTTGTACAGGAGCAACAGGTAAACCCTGATTTGGCAGAGGGAAGGGAAAATGAGGCATACACGACTGGGGATATTCCAGATGAAGAACAGGGGTTTTCTGGGATGTTCAGTGAATGCAGGTGACAAGAACAACAAAATCCCCAACTTTTCAGTCCTAAAAAAGAAAAATTACTGAGAAGCCATCTTAAAGAATCTCATGCTTTCCAGGAGACTAGGAAACCTTAGGAAGCTGAGGCATGGACAAGAAGTGATTTGCCAAAAATCTCTATAAGAATCTGTGACCCTCCTAGGAATAGCAATCCCAGCTAAATATGTATTTTTCCTGTCTCCTACTCCAGGATCATTCAGCCACATTTCTGTTTTTCTTCTCTTCTGCTGTCATGAATTGATTTCAACAGTTTGGCTTCCTGTCCTTTTCCAGAAAGGTTGGAGTTAATCAGTGAGCTAGTGACTAATCATGCAAGGCTGCTTGACTGAGTGACTTTGTGTTCATGTCTTACCTTAGTTTGAAGGTCACTTTTTCAGAACTTAAAATGGATTAATTTTCCCCAAACTGCACTTTGTTGAGCTATTTCTACTGCTGAAGTATCCTTCACACAGCGAAGCAGAAACTTACTACTAACCAGGCAAAGAAGTCTGTAAGATTTTCAGTGACTTTTGTTCATGATTACCCCATATGTTTGGGCATGCCTGGATGGTTTATGAAATTTTAATACATACTGTGAAGTTGTAAAATATTGTTACAATGGCACCACTGCATTAATATTGTTTCTTTGCCAGTATATAGTCACTTCTTTGCACAAGAGGAACACAGGCTAAAATTGCAGCCTGGACTAGCTGTCATGGATAGACACTTCCCCAACTCAAGGAAAGGTAGTGTTGTGGAGGAAAAACAAGCTTTATTTCTTATCTAACAAAATAGAGTATGAAAAATCCTGGAGACAGGTAAAATAAAGGATTTTGAAGATGTCTGTTCTGTTCAGCTTGATTCAGAAGTCTGAAGTCCTCGTTGCTGGTAATGGTTGATCAGTGAGATGCAATCATCTCAGAAGAACTTCCTAAAGACTCTTAGGAAGAGAGGTGAGGTACCACAAGTTATAGCTAGACAAAAACTGGCAGTGTAGTGGGTCAGAATATGACTGGACACTTGATTTAGAGTTTTAAGGAGAACTAGGTCTAGACTGAAAAGAATAAAGGCAACACACACACAATAGCACATTGCACAAAAGGCACTTTGAACATTCTTTAATGCCATTAGATATTCTGAACAGTACAGGAAATATATAAATCAGAAATCAGGCTCTGAACCCAGCCTGGGAAGCAAAAATTATTCTCTCTTGTTTTCATTGAAACCTCCCTGTCATGTGTGGCATGGCTAGGTCTTCTCCAAGTGGGAAAAAATGGATAGCAAAAAACATGAGAGGAAGCAGCAGGAGCCTCTTTATTCAGAATAGTGTCTGCCTCTTACACTACTATGAGTTGAAGAAAAAGCATTTCTCTTCCCAGGCATAACAACAGTGGGTGAAACAGATCCATATTCCTGACTCTCCACCCACCACAGACACAATGAGCTATATTGCCTGTTAAATACATAGAGTGAACAGGATCACAACCAGCCCAAACATGTAGCCATCACATTTAGAGAGTGTGACTGTGTTGAAAGGAGAAAGAGCTATTTCTGCCAAGCTTCTGCATCCTCATGCTTGCTCATGGTCTCTCTAATCCAGTCCAAATAACGCACTACCTTGGTGTAAAGACCAAAGGTACCACATTTTGGTCCCCAGGAGACCAGCCCCGCAACATAGTACCGTCTTTCATCAAGAGGATCTTGGATAGCATAGGCTCCACCGCTATCTCCATGACAGCTGTCCTTGCCACCACCAGCACAGATCATATTGTCAGTGAACAGGTAAACAACAGAACCATCAGAGCCCTCTGGTTTCACGGATCGGCACTTTTCCATGTCCATCACGGGAATCTGGGCCTTCACAAGATTCACAGGCAGTTTTCCTCTCTCTCTCTGGCCCCAGCCAGCAATGTAGCCCAAAGTCCCTTCTTGCAGCTCATACTCAGGTGACTTACCAGGAAGACAGAGAGGTGAGATGTTTGGACCCATCTTCAGAGGATCCTTCAGCTTCAGTAGTGCAATATCATTATCAAAATCAGTCCTGGTTTCTATGGGCTCCTCCTTCCAGTCAGGATGGATGAATGCAGCTTCTGGGATCAGCTGTTCAGCATCCCACTCCAGAGATTCTCTACCAACGTTGACTACCCCAGCATACATGGTGGGCTTTTCATATCCCTCCAGCACATGAGCTGCAGTCAATACCCATCTTTCCGAAATGAGTACACCACCTGCTCTTGGGGAACTGAAAAACACCTGCCAGGGGAAGTTGCCCTTTTCTGCAAGGGTACCTCCAAAAATTCTCGCTTTCTCTCGTATAGGATTACTAGGCACCCCACAGACTGGAAAGAAAAGAAAAAAAGAGGAACCAAATGGGAGAATTAGCAGTTACAAATAGGGAATTCTTTGGTACTTCTAGAAAGCCCACAGTCCCCTCCTGCCTGTGTTCTCCAAATAATTTTTGATTCTAATTAACCAGTTTATATTCTATGTCACAGAGTCTGCAACTAGTATTTACAGAGAAAATAAAGAAATTTCTAGAAAAACTACTATCAACACTCAATTTCGACAGAAAATACTCCTTCACAAATTCTTTTTTCTGGAAAGCAGTTGTCACCCCACCAGTGCTGGGTATGTCAAAGCTCACAATTTAATTGCCTTCTAGTTGCCTTTTTAATTTGCTGAATTATGCCCTGTAGGTGAATGGATTGTCTTCAAAAAAATATTTGCTTTTTATCCGCTCTTTAAATTTTATAATTTTTTTTTGTGAAGTCCAGAGAGTCTCAGGTTAAGTGTTCAGGTTTGTCACTGATGTTTTTCCACTTTTCCTATCCATTCTTTTAATGTGTAAAATCTTAAGCAATGGGAGATCTTATCTTATGGGTACAGACATGCACCATGCTCTTTGAGTAAAATGGTCTGCAAGATTTTGCAGAATGTGAGCACTAAGTCCATAAATAAGGCTGGTCATTCTGACATAGCTGAGAAATTGATTTCTTATCATGTTGCCTTGTTTACATTGAAGTCTTACTCATATTGTCAGAGATTATGGAACTGTAGCCAGCAGGTAGCTTCCAATTCGAATGAAGCAGAGTTTGTTAAAGAATTTCACATAGTCATAGGAAGATTTAGGCTGGAAGATACCTCTCAATGTCTCTAGTTCAACCTGTTCCTTCCTAACTGCTCTCCTCCTGTCCTCCTAACTACAAAGCCAAGTTGTTCAGGGGCTTTGACAGGTGACTTCTGATCACCTCCCAGTGTAGTGATTAGCCAGCCTCTCTGGACAACAGTTCCAGTGCTCTGGGGGAATATTTTTCCTTAAATACAACCATAATTTGTTGCAACTTGAGGCTGCCATTGTCGTTTATTGCTATGTCCCACTGAGAAGAGTCTGGCTTCATATTCTTTGTAACCTCCTCTTAAGTAGCAAATTCCCTGAGCTTTATATTACAATTGGCCTTTTACACTGTGCATTTATATAGTTCAAGTCACTGGCAGAGCTGGACTTTAAGAGGGCTGAATCATCTTCAGCTGGATCTTGTACTTTGCCAATGAGGATTTGGGGGTTTGAAGTTATGAAGAGGCATCATGTACAACTAGGCCTAGTCACGCTGCCTCCTCTAAGAGAGTAAACTGAATCATGTGCAGTATACATAGGATTTAAAATTCTATCTATCAGGTGGATGTTAAGACCCAGCCATGACTCTGAGCAGTCAGGAGCAGGAGCACTACCTTTTTCAGTGTCTCCCAAGTACACCAAGAGAGGATGAGAAGGTCCTTGACAGGGATCCTGCTTGAGCTTTCAGACACAGTAACTGTAGCTGAATACTAAGTGACACATTAAACCTTAAGGGTTTAGGCTATGACTTCTAGCCAGAGCAGTGAAAGACCTTTCCCTGTAGTGCTACTGTGTAATTGCTTAGGAGGGACTGAAGACAGAAAGGTCCAGCATAGTTGGACATATTTTTGACCAGTCAGTCTTTCTGCTACCTCCAAAGAAGACAAAGATCTAGAGTACTGAACAACTTGAGAATGTGCACTTTTGAAGGTGGGGAAACTGGTGGAGAAGCACACACTGATGCTTGAAGAGGTCCTGTTATACTAGATGTATTATTATGTTGCACATTTTTGTTTCCGGTTTCTTCCTGCTGTCTCATCTGACCTTTCTTTGGGACCCACAGCTTTCAGAAATACCCTGTCTGATGTGATTCAAACAACCCAGAAAGGATTAACTGTATTTTCAGGCTCAACATTTTAAAACAGAGAGATGAAAGAAGCAGCGGTCTTCATATACCATGTGTACATACACACACAGTTTTTGGTAGTACCTGGGACACATTTTGGTGGCTTTTTTCCCATCTCTTCACTGATCCATTCTCCACTGGCTGAACACTGATACACCGCTTGGAAAACACAAGAAGAAAATAAAGAGTTCCATAAGGATACAATCAAGATGAAGACAGGGTAAGTAGCATTACTGTATATGATGTATTAACCTCCCCATTTCCAAAGCAAGCGTAGCTTGGTAAACATTGCTCTTATTTCCCTACCAGGGTGCTTCTATCCCTTTATTGGAGAGACCTCATCTAACAGGTTTCTTGAGTCCTTTACTTCTCCACCAGAACTCTGTGCTACACGTGACAAAAACCTCCATGGTTCACTCACAAGGCAAATGCAGAGAGGACTTGCTGATGCATTTAAGGTCAACAGTTCAAGTACAGACATTGTTAGAGTGTATTAAACACAGAGGCAACACAAAACTAATGCCTGCAATCCCACACCAATGAGAACTTTTTCCCAGTCTTGACCTGATGGGATATAATCCCAGCCTCGTGATGATGCCAGAACCATTTCTTAGGCCTTCATTCAAAGAAATATGATTGTGTAGTGCAGGCAATTCTTACCATCTCCTTTGTTTTCTAGGGTATAGTAAGGTGCATCACATTGATACCGGACAACAGCTTTGTACAGAGGCTCATGGAGTTCAGAGACATATACAGCTTGGGCATTGCCAACAGGAGTAGGATCACCACAGTTCACAGCTGTAGAGAAAAAACAAAAAAATATAATCAAAGGGGTATCATCACTTCAAAATATGATTATTCTGTATGATGGGGAACCACTCAGCTTCTCTGATTCCTGTACAGTCATGAGCACTGACCTTCTCTGTCCCTTCAACATGCTCACATACCAGCTCTTCAGCATTCTCCTAATCTGGAGATAGAGTGGATCTAGAGCCTAAATGTTCCATTCCAGCCTGCTTCCCACAATACAGAGATGGCTCACTTACGAACACAGCTCAAATGGGAGTTGCTCCATTCACCATTGTCCTGACAGCTGGAGTAAAAAGTCTTGATGCTGTCTCGTTGCTAGGAAAAAACACATGATCCATGTCAGTCACTGGCCATGAAATATATCTGACACATATGCCCTAGTGGAGAGTCCTCAAAATACTACAGTAGCTGGAAGAGGTTTGCACTTAGTCCTGCTGTGCTGAGAACTTTGAGTCCTCAAAGGTACTCGGGACACCTGATGTGAAAAGGCCCAAAGAAGCTGCTGTGTGGGCCAGAGGGGACATATGCTTTTTTATGTAACTTACCCTCACAATTTCATAGCCTTCCATGCAAGTCACCTTCACATTGTCATTTAAGATATACTTGTCCTTCTTTGGGTCAAGAACAGAGTTGGGGATGACACTCGAGGGACAGGTTACAGCTTTGAAGAGATAGGTGGAAATCAGTGATTCACTGGTTCAAAATCTACTCTCCTTCCAACTCCCAACTTCTTTCTCCCCAGTGATTATTTTCCCTAGTAAACAGGCATCCTCTTTTACTTGATACCAGCAGCTGTAAACATCTTAACATGCTGTTGTACTATGAATCTGACCTAGGACAAACCCCCACCCTAACTCAGCAGCAGAGTGAACACTTTCCCAAGTGTTTACTCACGACTCCCATAGTAGCGTATTTTCCAGCCTTTGTGCTGTACTGCATGGTCTGTCTGGAAGATGATGTCAAGAATGTTGTTACTAGTTTCGATTTCAGGAGGACCTGGGAATTTTCTGCCACAATAAGGACCAAAATGCTGTTTTCCAGAGAAAATCTGGGAAAATAAAAAACAAGTAGAAATGAGAAATAGTGAATGTATTCAGAGAGATATTAAAATACATATTCAATATATACATATTCAAATGTATTCCTAAGAACTCCAAAAGGCAACATAGTTGAAAACAAAGTTAAGCATTTAGAGGGTCTTCTGAATATCAGGAGATTGGTGGGAGACCTAGAGCACCTTGACTCCCTCCCTAAGCCGCACACCTACTGTTAAGCTGTCGTGGCAGGTCCCGTTTGAGTCAGCTGGTTCCACATCGAAGTCCTCCTGGTGTATGGTCAGTACCACAAAGTAGCCTGGACTCAGAGCCACTCTGTAGTCACACCGTGAGTTCTCTGGGTACTGGCTGGGATAGTTGGGGCTGGTAATCTGCCCTGATAGCTCAGTGAAGACATTTCCACTGCAGTTCACTAGGATTAAGGAAGAAACACAAGCAGGATTCAGAAAGGAAACAGTCCATGTGAGCAGCCGACAAGCTTTCCCTCTTCCACCACATCTACAGTCTGCCTAGCTACGTGGGATTTCAACTTCTTTTTACTCTCTACCTGTGATTTAAGCTCCCTTTCCTTATGCTTGGGTCCACATATTATACTTCTCTGAATATGTACTATGTGTGATGTTGCAACTTCTTGATTCAAGTCACAGGCCTTTTGGCCATTTTTGTGTGTTCATGAAACTGCCTTGTTTTTCAGAGATTAAAAGATACACAGTACACTAAAAATGGTCTCCATCACAGTCTTTAAAGAATGTCACTTAGTAGTTTCTTAATTCTATTGACATGAATAAGAACAGAAGAATGTTAAAGAGTATATTAACAGAAGTCCCCAAAATGGTCTACTGCAGTTCTGATTTGTACTGGGATGGTTCCCACCTCTACCCTAAAATATACCTGTCTCAACTGGCTGAGAAGGACAATAGCAAAAGTCTTTGAAGTACAATATCTCACTTGGCCTAAATTAACTCTTACTGTAGACCACCGCTCATGTACACCTCTTACCTCCACATGTTTTCTGATCCTCATAGAGGAAATAATCTGGTGGACAGGTACAGAAGTAACCTCCAATATAATTGTTACAGTAATGACTGCAAGGTTCCTCCACAAAATCCATGCACTCATCCAGGTCTGCAAGTGTGAAAAGATGTATCAGACAAAATTAGGAGAGGGCCCTGGGGGCAGGAGAAAGATGAGAAAGTGAAGCAAACACTACTGGACAAGGAAAAGGTATCTCTAAGACAGCATTTATACTGGCCATATTGGAATGCAGTTCTGTCTGTTGGGATCTCTTTTAAATAAGGCATTCTTGTAAGGAAAACCCTTCTGTTAGCTATCCTTCCCCCTCCAGCCTGGACACTACAGACATTCAGGGGCAGCTGTTTTAACCTTACCCACTGCAACATAGTAGGCTGCAAAACCAGTGAAACGTTCCTCATTGGAAAAGTCTGATTGGAAGCTCATATTGACAGTGTTGTAAGGGACACGAAATTCCTCAACAACCAAGGAGCCAGGAGCACGAGGCTTCTTCTTCCCACAAAGCACACCTTCAACATGGCCACCAGACAGAATCTGCAGAAAAATTCAGAGACATCTTACTTCACTACTGGAACATGTGTAATTACCAACACTTGAGCCTTTCCACTCAGCATAGGTGGCTAAGATGCAGATGAATGGAGCCCCTGGAGAACCAGTTTCATGCTAT